TTCTTCCCCTTCTGTGATTCTTTCCAGCCCACTTTTCTTTCTCTTCTACGTCAGAATTATTGCAACTGACGATCAATCACAGTTTAAGGGTATCTCTTACATTGCAAAAAGCTCCTTACCAATTGCAATATTTATCTTTAAATGTTGGTCTTCTCCCCAGTCTTAAGCAGCGATTCTTTTTTTTTTTTTTTTAAGATTTTATTTATCTATTTGAGAGTAAGAGAGTGAGGAAGAAAGAGCACAAACCCAGGGAAGAGAGAGAAGGAGAAGCAGACTCCCCAATGAGCAGGGAGCCTGATGCAGAGCTCAATCCCAGGACCTTGGGATCATGACCCGAGCAGAAGGAAGATGCTTAACTGACTGAGCCTCCCAGGTGTCCCTTAATCAGTGATTCTTAATTAACAGCAATTGATACAATATATCTGATTGCAAAAATTTGAAATGACACTTTCTTTGAGAAATTGTTAGTTCTGGCACAGTGCCTATTGTGTTTTTACCATTCCTTTAACCAAGCACACAGTTAAAACAAGAGAAGAGGAGGGAACACTTCTTAACTCACTCTAAGAGGCCAGCATTACACTAATATAAAAGCCAAACAAAGATACTGCATGAAAACTACAGACCAATAGCCTTTACCAATATTGATGCAATAATCCTCAACAGAATAGTAACAAACTGGATTCAAAAACATATTAAAGGTTTATACAACGTGACCAAATAGCCTTTATTCCTGGAATGCAAGGAGGGATCAATATGTGAAAAATCAACCAATATATCACACCACATTAACTGAATGAAGGGGAAAAAGTAACACACGGTCATCTCAATTGATGCAGAAAAATATTTGACAACATTCAAGAGCTTTCATGGTTAATTTTATATGCCAATTTGACTGGGTTACAGTGTACCCAGATATTTGGCCAATCATTATTCTGGGTGTTTCTGTGAGGGTGTTCTTGGATGAGATTAACATTTAAATCAGGGAGTTTCTGGATTGGTGAACACATGGATAGTTGAGGAAAGGGCATGGAAGCTCCAAGACCCTTCTCACATACCTTAACCTATGCATCTCTTCCATATGGCTAGTCTTCGGTTATATCCCTATATGAAAAAACAGTGATCCAGACTGTGAGCCTCTGATGCCTTCTCCACTGTTCATTAATTCTTACTTGAATTCTCTCACGGATGATATAATTTCTCAGCCCACACTTAAAGTAGAAAAGTCTTATGAAAATAAAAACATGGAAGGGGAGGCTTTAGAATTATAAGAAAATTCTGGATATGTAAAGAAAACTATGATAAAATCATTAAGAGAATGCTCAAAAGAAATAGATGCTCAAGGCAACTATATGGCAGAAGCATTATAAGTACAAGGACAACGGAGAAGATGACAGACACCAAGGGACAGGAAAGACCATTTCCTTAAGCCTACCCCAATGATCATTCCCATACTGTAGCTATGGTAAATAAGATAATTTCTTCAACTACAAATTATAAATATTTAGTAATACTATCCACATGAATTCCTTTGTACTTGTCCACAAGTTGTCTCCATTAGGAAAATATTGTCAGCTATTTTTTACCCAGGTCTTATCCTGATTCCTACTGGTTCCACTTTCTCCTACCTGCTGAATGGTTAGTCAAAAAAGACTTTTTTTTTTTTAACTTTTCCTCTTACTCCTATTCATTCTTTTCCATGCTAGTGCAAACAAACCCCAGTCCTAACTTCTTTAGGTCATATAGATCCCAGATCCCCAACCCCCCCATTTTTGGGGATATCAGTACTTTCCACCTGGCCATCCTTCACCCTCCCAGACTTAGACGGAGACATTTTATAGAAGTTAACTAATTTGCTCTTACTTATACAGTTGGTAGGTGGCAGAGTGAAACTTGAATAGAGATTTTTAGATCTGTACACTTCTCTATGTTTCCTTGCTCTTAAGTACCACACTAAGTACATTGTATATTTGTATATAAGTATACATATATTCATTTAAAAGGTAGATTACAAAGTAATGAAATGGACTTTTCTATGTTGCTTGTGAAAATCTATAAACACTGTATACATCACGTAAATGAGAAAATACATAACACACCAGATTAGAAAGGTTTTACATTAGTTTTATCAAGTCAACGTTAGTCAGCAGTCTACAGAAACATTTTAAGCAGCAATTGCTTTTAAATATTATGTTTCAATTAGTCAAGAATGGCATGTTTTATACCTAAATATTCCAATCCATAGGCGAATTTTTTGTTTGTTTTGGGTGTTGTTTGATCTTGTTTTTTGCCTTGAAGAGGTAACTAGACAAAGGAAATGTGTATTACATGATATCTAATAGGACACAAATAAAGCATTAAGAGCTCAGCCCCTGCACAGACAATAAAAGGATTGACTGCATCTGCAGGTACCTTTAAGAAGAAAGGAAAGTTTAAAAGGAAGGAGAGCAAAAAGAAGGTATTTTCATGTCTGTATGGCTAATGTGACCTGTAAATAAACCGTAACATAGAGAAGTGGGCCTGGATCAATTACTGAACATGAATAATAACAAAAATACTCCTTTAAATTTCTAGAGTTTAGAGTTCTAGAATTTTCAAAATGCTCTTACATGTATAATCTCATTTTACCATAATGGTTTCCTGCAGCAAGCAGGAAAGTGTAGGAAGGCTCAGAATGTCAAAATCCTTCATGAAATCTTTCACACCTAATAAATACCAGGGAGCATGAGAAATCTGAACGTTGTCCTAAGACCTTTGGAAAGAGCAACCTAGTTCCTCAATGACAGCTGACAAAGTTTCCTCTGGATGGTTCAGAAGAAAAGTTATCTATAGGGGAGTTTTCTTTAGGCCATACTAATCAAGATAATCCTGAGAGATTTTTATTACATAAACGGCTCTCAGGAATCACACGTAGATAATGAACAACAGGAAAAAAAGAAAACAGTCACAAAACTATTATTTTTTTTAAATATTTTATTTGACAGAGATCAAAAGTAGGCAGAGAGGAAGGGAAGCAGGCTCCCTGCCGAGCAGAGAGCCCGATGCTGGGCTCGATCTCAGGACCCCAGGATCATGACCTGAGCTGAAGGCAGAGGCTTTAACCCACTGAGCCACCCAGGCACCCCACAAAACTATTATTATACTTCCAAGGTGTTAAAGAAAACATTCACTCATTCAATAAATATTTACAGAGCAACTACCACATGCCAGACACTGTGTTAGATGTTAGGGACTCCCATCATAAGCAAAATAGGTTGTTTGCCCCATCCTCAAGAAGTTTTCCAGTGTGTAGGGAGTGAGGTAAGTGAGACATCAAGTTTTAAAAAGAAATCTCAAAACATGAGTATGAACTTTGAAGAGCACTAAGAAACAGTGCTATGGTCTGAATGTGTCCCTCCAAAATTCATACTCTTAAAGCTAACCTCCAGCGCGATGGTACTAGGAGGTGGGGCCTTTGGAGGTGATTAAGTTGTGATGCTGGAGCCCTCATCACTGAGATTAGTGTCATAAAACAGGCCCCAGAGAGGGCCTCAGGCCCTTGCCCTCTTCTACCATGTGAGGACATAAGAAGTCTGCCATCTAGAACAGGGACATCACTAATCACCTGGCACCTCATCTTGGACTTCCAGCCTCTAGAATTGTGAGAAATAAATATTTCTGTTGTTGGCAAGACACCCAGTCTATGGCATTAAAAAAAAAAAAAAAAAAATTTTTTTTTTTCTAAATTTGACAGAGAGAGAAAGAAAACACAAGCGCGGGGGTGGGAGGGCGGGTGGTAAGGAAGAGGGAGAAGCCGAAGGCAGACGTTTAAACCACTGAGCCACGCAGGCGCCCCCCAGTTTATCGTATTTTTGCCACAGGAGGTCAAGGGATTAAGATTGGTGCTATACAAGCCTATGAAAGTTACTAGTAACGGGCACTGGGGGGCAGGGAGTAGAAGAGGAGACTAAAAGGTTGGTGGGCAGACTGCTCTAATGAGGGGAGGGCGGGAAAGAATCACACAGCCCCCAAAACGTCAAAGTTCTCGCTGGCAGCTGTCTCCAATTCCCAGCTCCTTTAATTTACTTCCATTGAGTTTCCATGTCTACAGGTCCCAGGTTGCCTGCATAAACCATAGCCCCAATCTCATGGGTACTGCTCCATGATTATACAACCACTCAGAAGCGGTCATCTGTGAACTCTGGAGCAGATGCTGTGGGTGGCTCACCCATGTCCCCTGGACACCCGCCAACACACACTTCTATTGCAAGCCCGCGGCTCTTGCTTCCCCCTCCCTCTCGCCCTACTCAGGACCTTAGCGGCCCTCACACAGCCAGTGAAGCACCTCTGTCTAGGTGCGGGTTTCATTCGGGGACTCCCAGTCTTCCCCTAAGTCCACTCTCCCTGGGGCCCGGCCTGGCCCTCACACCTCCAGCCGCAACCCAGCCAGGATCTCTGCACCAGGCCCGGGCCTTGGGAGGCCCTGATTTGTCCTCGGCGGGAACGGTATCCACGGGTGGGAAACACCACATGCACCTACCCAGGCTGGCAGGGAGGGGAACCCCGCCCCGGCCTGGGCCTCCTACTCACCGGGTCGTGGGTTTCAGGAGTCACATGATCCAATGGGATGCGCGACAGCAGGGACCACGTCACGGCCAGCCCTTCGCCCGTCCCCGGGGACAGCTTCCTTGGACTCTTTAAGGAATATTCAGCCCCGCAGGGTTGGGCAGTTTTGTGTTCTCTTGGCCTGTTTCTTCTCCTCAAGCACACAGAGAGGGAAAACATGGCGCGGAGTTCTTCAAAGCCACCCCCATTTGGGCCACTGTGGTGAGAGAGAACGAGGACGCGCCCAGACGCAGAAAGCGTCGACGTTCAAGCCTATCCGGCTTTTAATGGCGGGCAGGCAGGCCTACACCGGAAGTGCGTGAAAAGGCGAAGCCTGCCGGGAAGAGGGCTGGGGCGGGGCTACAGAGGCATGGGGGCGTGGCCTGGAAACCAGAGGGCTTGGCGGGGCGGGGGCGGGGGCGGGGCCAGCCCAACTACGGGTGTGGCGGTTGGGGAGTGGGCGGAGTCGACCTGCAGCGGTAGGTGGGAGTTGTCTTGGCGGTTGGAAAGGGTTGAAAGGTGTGGTCTGGTACCTGCAGACGGTGGCGTTCATATCAGTTCTGTAGAAAGCAGGGAATGGTGGCTGCCCCTTGTCCGTAAAGAGAGAGGTCATGCCACTGCAAGGCCTGAGAGTTGGGGGAGAGAAGCTGTGAACAGTGGGTTTTCACAGAGGGATGTTGAAAGTGATTGCTGAGAAGCTAGAGGGATTTCTAGTGAAGCTAGGTGTCATCCTTTCATAATCTCCTGCAGTAAATTGGAAAGCGGAGTAAAATAATTCTATTTACCCAGAGTGGCCTCAGGACGATAAAGCAATCAGGAGGGGACTGGAGTGTGTGCTGTTAGTGAAGGTAGCACTGGAAGGAGCCGAGCTCACTTGGCCCTCTGATCTCCTCTTGGGAGTTTCTGGGAGACTCAGGAATTTGGGGAGAGGTTGTGGGAAGCAAAAGGAAGCCCAGATCTCCAGATGAGGGCAGCTAGGAGTGGGGCTGGGGGTCTGGGCTGTGGCCCCTTGGCAGGGAGGCTCCAGCCGTTTAGTGTGGAGTTGGGGAAAGATGCACTCTCTTTCGGTTTCTAGGTTCCCTGTACCTTTTTTATTCCCTTGCGTCAGAGAGCATGGCCAGACCAAGAGATGGAAACTACAGGGAGGCCAGTTGAGACTTGATTGAAGAAGGTAAGGATTGGGCTGAATGAACATCCCATTCCTGGGATCCGGCAATCATTTGCCAGGAAGGCTGACCCCTTGGTGGAAAGAGCTTGGTTTCGTAAATGAGAAGTCTGTCTGCTTCTGATTTTGAGTTGGTGATTTAACTCCCCAGGCCTGTATGTCCTCATTTCTGAAATGTTAAGAATATTCTCCCTGCTACCTCATAAACTGTGGCAGAGGTCGACTTTGATAGCTGCCACTGAAAATGCTTTGCACAGTAACTATGACAAGAGCTAACAATTACTGACTCCCAGCCCAGCACTCTTAAGGGATTTTTCCACATGCAGTCTCGTTTAATCCTTACATGAACTCTTTATGGTAGGTATTGTTATTATCCTCCCTGTACAAATGAAGAGACTATGGCTACTGTCTGTCAGAGAATTTAAGTAATTTGTCCAAGGTCGTACAGCACGTTGGAGCAAAATCAAGGCTCGAATTTATTCAGACTGACTCCAGAGCCTACTCTCTCAACACTGCAACTATTAAAACCTAAATCCAGTGGGGTTTTTGTTGTTGTTGTTCTCAGTATTTTATAGAACCAACTCCCAAATTTGGGCAGGATACTGAACTATATTTCTTCTAAATCCAACAGTGAGATTCGCTGATTTCAATAATCATCTCTTTCATTATTATAGCTTAATTTCTCTGAGCCTTAAATAACATTTTTACCTATAATTAAGGGAAGGTGTCCAGTAACAGAAATGAAAATTTGACCTAGATAAAAAGAGCATAGAAGGAAAGTTATGGGAAGAGGTAATATTAAGTAATTTGTCTCTCAAATTGTCGATAATGAAAGACCAGTTTTATTTTATTTTTTTTAAAGATTTTATTTATTTATTTGACAGACAGAGATCACAAGTAGGCAGAGAGGCAGGCAGAGAGAGAGGGGGAAGCAGGCTGCCTGCTGAGCAGAGTGTCCGATGTGGGGCTCGATCCCAGGACCCTGGGATCATGACCTGAGCTGAAGGCAGAGGCCTAACCCACTGAGCCATCCAGGCGCCCAACAAAAAGTAATTTTAAAACCAGTACACATTCATTGAAAGTATGCATATAGGTGATTAATATGAAGAATCCCTATTACACTTGTAGTATTTTGTTATTCTACAAATGTGCTCACTTCTTGTTAATTTATCTAAAATAATTTGGGTTTATGACATTACTTGCTAAGGTATATCTAAGTGACTTCCTACATTTTGTTTTAAAACCTCATTAGAGAAGGCACCTGGGTGGCCCAGCTGGTTGAGCATTCAACTCTGGATTTCAGCTCAGGTCATGATCTTAGGGTCCTGAGACTGAGTTCCATGTCCGGCTCTGCACTCAACAGGGAGTCTGCTTGAGAATTTTCCTTCTCCCTCTCCTTCTCTCTCTCACTCCTCTCACTGAAATAAAGTAATTAAAAAACTCTTTAGAGAAACTAACCTCACAGAGGTGTGTTGATTGCAGTATAAGAGGAGATTAATTTCAGCAAGTTCATTTTTTTTTAAAGATTTTATTTATTTATTTGACAAAGAGATCATGAGTAGGCAGAAAGAGAGAGGGGGAAGCAGGCTCCCCGCTGAGCAGAGAGCCCGATGTGGGCCTCAATCCCAGGACCCTGAGACCATGACCTGAGCCGAAGGCAGAGGCTTTAACCCACTGAGCCACCCAGGCGCCCCAGCAAGTTCATTTTTAACTTTGATCGGAAATGACCCAACTGATGCTGCATTTTCAAAATTCATTTTCAGTCCATCAGCTAGTTCCACAATTTATTTCATGAAGTTATAGTTTTATGTCAACTACCTTTTATTGAAATTATTTGTCAGAGCCATGATTTTCCTACATAGGCTATTCTAGTAATGAAAAATAAGATTTAAAGCATTTGGTCAAATTCATAGGATGTTTGTAACTTTTCAGATTGACAATACAAAGATCATCACCTACTTCATTGACAGTCTTTATTGACAGTCATTTTTGAATTATGGAACATGTCAAAAATCTGTAAAATGTGTTCTTCCAAGCTTCTTTTATTTTTCCCTTACAATCATATATTCACTGGCAAAACATGTTGCTGTGCTTCCTTCCACAGAAGTATAAAAATCATTAAAATATTGAAGAGGGGCACCTGGCTGGCTCAGTCTTTAAGAGTTTGCTTTCGGCTCAGGTTGTGATCCCAGCAGATCTCCTCTGCTCGGTGGAGAGTCTGCTTCTCCCTCTCCATGTGTATGCTCTCTCTCTCAAATAAATAAATAAAATCTTTTTTAAAAAATCAAAGATAGCAACAAATAAGCAAGACTATCTGGTTTACACTTTAAAAAATTAAAATAAAAAAATAAAAAATTAGAACCAAATTAACTTATTTTGTAGAAACATAAGGCAAGAATTTGACACAAGAATGTCATTCTTGACACAACTTCTTCTCCATAAAGATCCTAATTCAGCATGCAGTACCAGTTATGACTCAACTTCCATATTATGACATTATAAAAAGAATAATCTTCAATTTACCATGTTAGTTTTTGCTGCATCGCTAAGCATAGGTTTTAGGTAAGCTGACATATTTCATAGCAAGACTTTTCTCCATGACAGGAGCTGTGAACTGATTACAATCAGTTGCAAGCTCTCCATCCAGGGAACTCTCACAAAATGCTTTTCTCTCATTTCAGAGGTGCCATCAGAACACATTCCTACTCAAAACTTAAATTCCAAGCACATTTGTTAGCAAGAAAGCTGGGGCGGGGGTGGGGCGGAGAATCCTGTTTTTTTACTATCATGTTAAATTAGCTCATTTTAGCAAGATCTTTGTAGTTGCCAAGTTGCAGTGAAAAATAGGCAACATTATATGTTTTATGAGTTGGTCTTAAATCATAATAGCCAGTTTCTGAACACATCCGATTGGAAAGTGTTTCTTGAGCCCCATTTTTTCCTGTTTCACCTACTTCTAAGCAAGCATCACCAAAGCCATCTTTTGCTAATCGTTCAGTAATTATAAATGGATTTTTAGTTTTAGCAACCTAAGAAGCAATTCCTTGTGAAGCTCCCAAAAGCTTTAATGTTTATAGTGTAATACCAAACATCTGCTTCTGTCAGCCTTTTAATTGAAAACTCTCTTTCTCAAAGAATTTTTTTGTTTTGAATTTGTTTGGCAAGTAAATGTCACTTCAGTATCAGTTTCATTCATGACTCATTAGTAACTTTCCCATAAATCACACTCTGGTTTTAGTACTTCGTCAAATTTACTTGCCTAATAGAGCTATGAATATGTGTATGTTTACATTAAAAAATCGTAATTAAAAGTCAAAATGATTGTAAAGACAAATTATAAATGAATAATGTGTATAGATTGGAGGATGTTGGATTACAGCTGACAGATCTTAAAGTGACAGGCCACGTGAGGAGGAGGTCCTACTATGCATAGCAAGTATACAGCTTGAGTCACGTGGCGCTCACCATTCAAGTCCCACCCGAACTGCTCTGTACTCTATTCAATGAGACGAGTTCACCATTCCTGTCCTGGGGCTTTGAGGAATTATCCCAATATTACATATACGTTTCTCAGAGCTTGCTCCTGTTCTTTCTGCCTACCTTATCTTGGACCAGAAACAGTTTGCCAGCTGGTGCCAGATCCCAGACCACAGTTTGAATAGTATTATCCTAGAATTTAAGATTGGCACTTGTCAAAAATGCAAATCTGCTGGGTGCCCAATGCTTACCTGGCAATGGATGAGAAAGGATTAGCCATTTCGTGCTCTGGTTTGGCTCAGCCCCAATGATGGGGTGTGTCTTCTTCCAAAGCTACACTTGGGTCATCTTATAGCTGAGGAAGTGGGGAGTCAGAGGGTGGAAGTGACCTGGTGGGGATGGAGCTGGATCAGAAAAGAAACTAGGGCCAGGTCTACCCATACCTCATCCTCAGCTAGCAGCCAAACTGTATAGGCAGCAAGCCCAGCCCAACCCTTGGCCTCTCTGAGTCTGAGCTTGAGCCTTCTTGGGGGACAGCAGGCTGGGCTGGGCTCAGCCCATACTCAGGGTTATCTTTGCTAAGTGTCAGTCAAGAAAGGCAACAACGTCTGATGGGATATAAATATCACCCTGGATTTTCATACCTCCTCAAAGAACAGCCTCATCCTGGGGGTCAGCAACGGCAGACTGGATGCCATTGGATTAGAGATTTATAATTGGCAAGGTAGGTGTGTAATATCCAGGATTTTTTTTCTCCCCACCATCAGCAATAGAGTAGTTAGGAAACATTAGACATGCCTAGCACCAAATCCCAATGACCTATACTAATGGAATGGGGAAAGTCTCATCACTCATGTAGAGCTGATGACTAGAGACCTTTTAGTGACTGACGGTACAGAAGCTGTGTCCTTCCTCTGCTCCTGCTCAGCAGCCCAGATCCTGACCTGGTGGAGGCAGAAGAATAATTCTCAACTGCCCTCCTCAGGCGGAATGGACCAACTAGAGTGAATGAACAAATCAGGAGTCAGCAAAGGATGAGCATGGGATATGGAAAGGCCACATGTGCATGACCTCGGCTCCTGTATGGGACTCCAAGCTCCCGGATGAAAGGTGTAAGGTTGTTTGTTGTTTTATAGAGTGGCCTGCATGGTAGTCACTAAATCTATGAGGTCTCCAGACGCTTAAGTTACCTTTCTTTTTCTAAAATAGCATTGCATCTCTCCTTTCGAGTTTCATGGATTGATCTGTAAGTCCTGCCCCTCCTCTAATAGCATTTGGGGCTTTTATAGTTACAGCTGCTCACAAAGCCTCCTGTGAAAAATACTTTGCAAATGTCCTTTTCCTCCTTAGCGTTTCCAGTGGCACGGGGTAGAATGACCTGCTTTTAGGTTTTCTAGTCTAATGATAGAGACTCTGAACTCAGGCAGACCTCTAAGTTTCTTTTTTTCTTCCCCAAATCTTCCAAACCTTAAAAAAAAAAAAAAAAAAAAAAGAAAAGATAAAACATACCATCAAGGATAGTAATTTATATGGCTATTTGCTGTCTGGAAACAAAGAGAACATGAATGGAATATTATACCATGAGATAAGTGTAATATTCACGCAAGAGAAGTAGTTCAGTGGTTCTCAGCAAGGGGACATTTGTCTGGACCTAATTTTGGTTGTCACAACTAAGGGAGAAGGGGAAGTGCGATTGGCATTTATCTAATGGGTAGAGACTAGGGATACTGCTAAACATCCTATTGCACCCAGAACAGTCTCCCCCCAGCCACAAAGAATTATCTGGCCCCAAATGGCAATATTGTCAGGTAAGGAAGCCATGATTTAGTTATCTCTTGAAATTTCTTCTAAGGTAACACTTTTGTGACTTATTTCTAGAAATAATTAATCCCTGATATTTGATTCTTTGGGGTTTCAGTCTATGTGTAAGTACTTACCAAATAGAGTATATTTGTAAAGTGCACAATTCAAAATACTAAAAAAACATTAAAAGATACAAAGAACTACCAATTTGAGGACACTGGTCCTCATGCTTCTGGTAGTTTGTAGAGAAGGAGATTCTAATGTTAGTCTTACCATTTTCAGGGGAATCTTCTGATAAAGGAAGACTGCTTAGGGCATCAAACACACTTTTCAACTGAGAAGGCATCAGCACACCAGAGAAATGCGTGCAGTCTGAAGTTCTTGTTGATGGTCAAGTCCTCTGATGTGAAGGCCTGGGTTTAATGCTGGCCTTAACATCAGTCTCCTGTATTTCATCACCATATCATCCCCTTGGTCACAGCAGAACCTTCATGTCTACTGACAAGCTTTCTGAGGTGTGCCAAAGTGTGAGGAGCTGCCTCTTTCACAAATTGGATTCCACCCTCCACAGACCATGGTGACAGAAATCCTTCGAGTAACACTGAGATCAGGTCCAGGGGTCGACCTGGGACTTCAGTTCTGTGGTGTGTGGTTTTTCCTGACTTCAGATAATTGTCCTTGGTAGACCCCAATGACAGTTGGTTCAGAACTGGTGATAAGCTCAATGGAGCTGACACAGGCTGACAAAAATTCCTATAGTAAAGTGTTTGTGGAATTTCCCCAGATGGGGCTTGGAGAGTTTGTCACATTAGTGGGTTTTTAAGAATGTCTTTGCTCTTCATGCACGCAACTGTGTCATTTCTTCTTCTTCTTCTTTTTTTTTTTATAGATTTTATTTATTTATTTGAAAGACTGAGTGTGAGAGAGCACAGAAGTGGGGCAGAGGGAGAGGGAGAGGGAGAAGCAGACTCTGCTGAGCAGGGAGCCTGATGTGGAGATCAATCCCAGGACCCTGGGATCATGACCTGAGCCAAAGGTAGACGGCTTAAGCGACTGAGCCACCCAGGTGTCCCCCCTCATTTCCTCTTAAGGCAAAACTTCTACATCTGGTACATGTAGCTCCATTGTAGGGTGCTTAGCGGAGAGCAGGATGGCTTTAAGTGTAGGCTTCTATCATGTCATTTGGCACTTCTGTGTCCTGATATGTCTTCTTTTGCTGATTTATTTTGATCAGTTTATCTTAAGCAAATGTTCCTCACCAAAGGAGATGGATAGAGTATTTTCCCCCAGGAGAGGAGGCAGCAGCCACATCTCCTCCGGGGAGGAATCCGTGATTGGCCCAGTTTGGAGGGCACCATCTGGCACACTCCCCCAGGGGCTGGCCAGCAAGTGCAGGCATCTGCAGGGCTCTCTTCTGATCCAGGTGAGCACTGGAGTTTATGTTTGTTTCCAGAGTCACAGGCAGTAGATATCCCAGCAGTGGTTGTCTGAGAGATATCATCCTTTGCCACATGGAGGGCCAGGGGCTCTGTCTAGCAACTTAGCACAAGCTGAGATCCAGAACACAAAATGGGAAGACTTTCTAAAATCCCCCCTTTTCCCTAATTTTAGGCCTTTTAAAAAGTATGCTGCTTTTTGTTAAGTAACCATTTTTAGGAAACTTATCCTTCTTGGGGACTGACGTCTGCGCAGGTGCTCGAAACTATCCTATTCTCTTGACCCTGGTGGTTGGGAGTTTTCTTCATGGTCTGCATCAAACACCCGGTCACTCTGGAAGGGACCTGTACTTCTGTTGCAGTTTTTGTAATAGCAACGTCATTTCCCGATTGCCGTCAGACATCTGTCCAGGGATATTACCCAACTGGGAAAATATCTCAAGAATTGTACCGTAGCAATAAGCAAAAGCTGCTCTCTATTTGTCAAAGGCAATATAAACTTCATCTCTTCTAGAACCTACAGTAGCTGCAGGACAGATCAGATGCGACTCTGTCTAATGCTTCAAGTTTCATTCCCACTTTAAATTATTTAAGGCTGGCTTGGGTAATTCCTTCTTAAAGAACGTCAAAGTTGTGATTTCAAATCCATTTGAAATTCATAAAAGGAACATAGGCTGAGAGGACACATTCATCTGGAGCTCCAGAGAAGGTTAAGTGAAGCCCTCTTTTTTTCCTACAGATGCCCCAATGGGTTGTGGGTCCAAGGAACCTACAGGCCTCCTCAGGTCCTTTCCATTGTCACAACAGTGCTCACTATAAGCTGGCACCTGTAATTCCAGCAACTACAGCAGTACACACTGGAGAAACAGTGTGAAGTAACATGCCTCCCTTTCAAACTAGCTTTGAAGTTGTTAGCCTGAGGAATCTTGGACTCTCTGAAATACTGGGAAGGAGGAAAGATCCAGCCTCTTTCCCGAAACTGTTCCATTGGAAATTATCATTTTTCACAGGAGATATTCTTGGTTGTCCTTCTTGACAGCAGAATGATCTGAATGCTTTCCCTATTGTAAGCCTTTCTGGTGTTTTCTCAGGCAATGGCAGTTGACAGAGCATGGTTTTTGCCCATGGTCCAGCTGGCATGGGAATTCAGTACACCGCCACCATGTTTCAGAGCCCAAGTACAGAGCCTGGATCTGGCTTTCTTTTTACAGCTTTATTGAGGCATAACTGACATATAATAAACTTCACATATTTAAAGTATACAGTTTAACGCATTTTAGCATATGTATACCTCCCCGCAACCACTGCATGATGAGATAATGAACATATCACCCCCAAAATTTTCCTCGTGCCCCTTAGCCATCCCTCCCTCTTACCCTCCTTTAAATATTTAACATAATGTTTCAAAGTTGAAGACAAAAAGTGGGAAAGCTGCTCCACCCATTCAATGAGTCCGGGTATAATCCCAGCTCTAAAACAAAGTAAGAAAATTATGACAATTATAGACCAACTTTACTTCCGGACCTAGATGTGAAAGTCCTTGATGAAATACTGGTTAATGGAATTAATCAGTTAAGGAAAAAATTACAATTGCACAATTGCAATTGCTCTTCATAGAATCCCCTTTTTATTCTCCAATGTATTTTTTCACTAAATCTTTGTTCATTTTTTCCCCTACTTTTCCCTCCCAATTTCCTCACAGTTTTAGCTTTAGCTGATATTCTCATTTTATCCTGACATTATAAAACAAGCTGGCTGTTTTCTCATAAGTTCCTGCAGAGGAAATGTGTCCTAGATGAGGAAAAGATTCTAGAAGGTGACAGTCACCCACATTTCAAAATGAAAGGAGCAAAACAATGAGAGAAGTCATATTAGTTACAATTTTCTTAGGCCCTTCTATTGTTCACCAAACCCTTGAGTTCCCCTCAATACCACTGGAGTTGCCAGATAGTCATTTGTCAGGTTCAATTTGTGTCAAAGCTCCTGAAAACAAAGACTACTTCTTTGACCTTGGAGGGTAGGGCCCAACAAATAGGTCTTCTTTGATATTAATGATTCATTTGGTCTGTCTTTGCAGCTGTCTCTAACGTTTCTGGTATTTAGGAATGAATGTTGAACTTTCTCAACAAATATTTACCAGTTAAGTGCTAACTTTGCACTTGAACTGCATGCTGAGATGAAAATGGAGAAAATGCTCTATTAAAATTGCTAGGACCAAAAAGCATAGTTGCACCTTAAAACACTATAAATTCAAGAGCTAAATTATGGTACAGTGGGATAGAAAGGAATGGGAAGGCTCTAAAAAGGTAGCTGTACTTAGGCTTTGCAGGGTATATGGTGGGAGCCCCTGAAACAGTCTAGCTGCCAAAGTGCTTTCACTGTAATAACGGGACTGTTGGGGATGGGGTCGGTGGTATGGGGACATGAAAGATCTAAGTTTCCTAGTTGAAACAGGTACCCTGGTGTAATGGGAGAGAAAAGAGTACAAGGTAGATGAGGCCTGATCATGGAGGACCCAACAAAATTATCTTGTGCCCATTTCCAGTCAGCCCCTTCTGTAAGAGGCAACCACTTTTCAGATACCCACCACCATAGACTGCTTCCTCCTGCTGTTGAATTTCATATAAATGGAGTCATGTAGTACAGACCCTTTCATGTTTGATTTCTTTCACCCAACATGGTTTTGAAATTCATATTTTTGCATGTATTTAAAATTCCTTTTGGGGGCACCTGCATGTCTCAATCCATTAAGCAGATGACTCTTGATCTCTGCTCAGGTCTTGATCTCAGGGTCTTAAGTTCAAGCCTGGCGTTGGGCTCCACACGGAGCCTACTTTAAAAAAAAATTCCTTTTTGTTGTTGAATCCCACTCTGTTGAATGAATTAACCACATTTCTCTCTTCTCCAGTTTTGTCTACCATGAATAAAACTGCTATGAACAATTTTGTAGACCTATTTGCATGGATATATGCTTTACTTTCTCTTGGGTAAATAGGAGTTGAACTTCATAGGTTATAGGGTAGACGTCTGATTAACTTCATTCCATTCTGCTAGTTTTCCCAAATGGTTCTCCCATTTTACATCCCCACCAGCAATGAATGAGAATGTGTTACTCAGTGTCCTTGCTAACATTTGGTATTGTTTCTCTTTTTAATTTGATCTATTTTGGGTATTCTTGTGGTTATGAAGTACTTTCACATTGTGGTTTAATCAGCATTTTCCTGATACCTGATGAAGAGTACCTTTTCATGTATAGTGACCATTTCTGTACTTTGGTGGGTATTGGTTCAAATCTCTTGCCCATTAAAAAAAAATAAAAGGTGTCTTTTGTATTATTGAGTTGTTAGAGTTCTTTACATGTTCTGGGTAGAATACACCACGTGCACACACACACATCTTTACTCCCAATCTGTGATTTGCCTTTTCACTTTCTTAATGGTATACTGCTGAGCAGAAATCTTAGATTTTAGGAATCCAGTTAATCAATCATTCCCTATGGCGAAGTGTCTGTTGTCCTGTAGTAATACAATGTAAGTGAGAAGCCTGATCCCAATCTGTCTTCTAAGGACATAGAGTTCAGGATTACAGCAAAATTGACTGCTGTGTAGTGATAAAAAGGTTATAAACTTGCAGAGCAACTATGCAAATGAGCTGTTACAACATAAAAGTTCATAAATAAGATGACAATCCAATCTGAATGCCGTGTATGTGATTGTTAGTTGATAAAACTCTGATGAGCCTTTAAAAGAGTGCCCTTTCTACCCCTTGCCAACTTTGGTCTGGACTGTCAGAAAACATGTAACTTACCACCAGGAAGGTAAGAGAAACATGCAGGCCCCAGCGTCCCTGCAACTCCCGATTTTTTTCAATCTGCTTGTATACTTTTTGCTGTTGAACTGCATTTTGCAGAGATCTTTGGAACGGAGATAATGCCC